TTATCATTGAAGACAATTTTAGATGTAAAAGTTTCATCCGCAAATCCAGAAAGAATATCACACTAAATTTTATAGCCAACTTCTTTGCCTTGGGCAATTTTATATTTCAAGAGTTTTAATCTGTAACTTTTATATCTCAAACGATGCCGTAGATTTTTATACCCTGTTGTGTGAGACATGTTTAATTATCGGGCAGCTCGCCTGGTTGACTTGCCTGACTACGGATGAAAAACACTCGAAATTCATCCACCTGAGCTTCAGTGACTTTCCGTTTACCGAGGCTTCGCCATGTATCCAGTTTGATTAAATAATTTATACCGACTGTAAATCAACAATTTTATCAGAGGTTTCCTTCCAACACTGTACGAAACGTCTGTTGCACTGAAACAGATGATGTAAACTCGTAGCACCACACTACGATTTCAGGTTTCCTGCTTTAGACGACATTTTTACAGCTGTGAATGTAGCGCTTCAGGTGGATAAATTTGGAAGCTCGAGTAGAATGAATTAATATCTTTAATAATATAACCTACTCAAATACGTTTAATTTTCATTCTTATGACTTTCAGCTCATGAGCAATTAGAATAAGATAGTGTACATTCCATGTGTACACACTGTATACATGACAAGTGAATTACAGATTAACGTATAAAACATTTGTATTAACAGTAATGGTGTCTTGGCTTTCGAAATGCGTGTTAAACCAATTTCATCCTACCATGAAGTTTTAATGTAGAATTGATATTAGTAAAATCACCCTTAACTCTTGTAATACTGCTCGCAAAAAAAAAAGACATATTTACCATGGCAGCGTTTGTCTTGCGACTTCTTCCAGCATTAAAAATGAGAAAAGTGAAAAGAACATCGATTTCAGCTGTTTTTCAAGAAGTGGGAAAGAGTTGTAAACCGCTGTCAAGGCTGGGAAGGCAAGCAACAGACACGGTTCACATTATAAGGCAACACATTCAGTTACATATACGACAGCCCTAAGTGCTTCATCTGCATTGTCTGAAATTATTCTAAGGGAAAAGAGACACAATCTCAGCTCCTGTCAGTTCGTTCATATGATTTTTAACCTGCTGTGCCACAAAGTATGATTCATATAACTCCTTAAATGCTTTACAGTGTTACTTTTCCCAATCAAAATATTTTTTTTCAGAATCAGTTTTAAATCGCTGCTTGTGAAAACACACATTTCTGTAGCTACCGGCGATGAATTTTTTAAACGTTCACATTTGATGATAAATTTTGCTTTTCATATCAGTGATAAAAAATTGCGGTCAGAGAGGCAAATCTAATATATAAATTATGCTATTATGTTCTTAGTAAGCAAATTGAATTGGCCGCGCGATAGCTCAAGCGGTTAGTAGCTGGCTTCCCACCGTGGCGGCCCGGGTTCGATCCCGGGTCTGGTCAAGTGGGATTTGTGGTGGACAAAGTGGTGCTGGGGCACCCTGCCAATATTCATTCCACCAGTTGCTCCACAATCACCCTCACCAATCATCTGGGGCTGGTACAATAGGCCAGAAGTGGCCGCAGTACAAGGGACTCAGTCCCACCCCACTAGCATTAAAAAAAAGAGTAAATTGACCGCGTTTAATATGTGTCTGCTCAGATTATATAACATATGAAACTCCAAGTACAGAAATTTTGAATTTTCTGAGCTTCAGTTCACTCTCCTGTTGAATTTCACTTCCTAATTGATATAACTACTGAAACGTGTTTTTCGAGAGTCACACCTTGACACCGTCATTGTCAACTGCAGCTTTTGGTATTTGTGTCGAAAGTTACAGTTTCACATTACTTCAAGGATATCGACTAGTGTGGCGTTTTGCAAACTTCTCCTTAATTTTTCCAGCCGGATTTTCAAGCAATACCTTTACACATAACTAAGAATTTCCAATTCGGCTGGCCATAAGTATTTCCCCGTTTCATTTATATCCAGAAATACTTAAACTGAAATAGCACATTGACAATATTTAGGTCGATGGCAGACGGGAGCCTGACAGGTCTCTCTCTATTCCACATTGCAACCAGTACATCGACCCACCTCACTTTGATATAAGTAATGTAATGAATCCTTTTTCACCAACGATTTTCCTTGTTTAGTCTAGCTTAATGTAGCCAGACAGCAAGCACCTCTTGCGGAGTGTCCACAACTAGACTGTTCCTTGACGATACGTACTTTAATGTCTTCAGGATATACCTTATCATGGATTTGAGATTAATGTTATTTTATAGGCCAGTGATTCCCCTACTTCTCACTCTGAAGCTCCCTGTATGTGAGAACCCAGAACCGATGAGATTTACATAAAAGTCACTTAGCAGTTTAAGAAATAATTACTGATAAATCTAAATGATACCCACATGCTCACGCTGGTTCATCGCTCACGGATTTTTCTACCCTGAAGATGGAGACGATACGTTCCTCCGAAACGTCGGTTTACACTAGGTCTACCAGGCGCCACATCCGAGATGATGGCATTCTTCATAGGACAATTAAATTCTATGTATTTTTGATATCGACTAAATTTTTAACTCCGAATGTGAGATGTATAGTGAACTGTTTCTGTGCAAGCGTTCACTTGTCTTTTATGAATTTACGCATGTATTAACACTCTCAGTGAATATGTAATGTCTGCATGCATGTTGGTTGTAAAGGAAGTAGACCCATGGTAATGAAAAGACATTCCGATTAAGTTTAGAAGCTGGCCGCGCCACTGCTCAAGCGGTTAGTCGCTGGTTTCCCACTGCGGCGGCCTGGGTTCGAAACCGGAACTGGTCAAATGGGATTTGTGGCGGGAAAAGTGGCGCTGGGGCAGGTTGTCTCCGAGTACTTCGGTTTCCCCTGCCAATCTTCATTCCACCAAATTATCCATAATCATAATCACCCGGGGCGAGTACAATAGGCCAATCAGCGGCCGACGTGCCGAGTGGACCCAGATGGACTCCACCACCCCCCACTATGCGAATTTCAAATTTTAATTTAAAGTTTCGAACCTGGGGGTTATGACCGTGCTTTTCTTGTTTCCCTTTTTCTCCGGTTCAGTGCGAAAACAGAATCTTATAATGGCACTGATCTTTTCCAAACCATACAGAAAAATACCTCAAGATCTATATAAATTTTAACATCATCTTGAGCCTCAGGGCAGAATACAGAAACACTTAACTAGAGAGCAGAGCGGTACGAGCCATATGTGGTTTCGAAGTCAGCATTCCACACGAAACTCAGCAAACCCGGCAGCCAGTCAAAGCAGCTGAAACGGTTCACCGCGAATAACATGAGGATCCTTCGGAACCTGCAGTCGATTCTTGGTTACGTAAATGTTTTAAATCTTGATTCTGACGGGATTCTGGGTACGGGAGAAAAAGAAGGAGACTCCGTGCCTTAAGTGATTCCCGTGCTTAACTCGAACCCATTTGTCACCTAGTTGTAATTTCTTCACTTGTCTTGCGATAGTGCAAAGAGATTATCCAAAGGGTAATACGTCTGACTGTTATCCAGGCGATTCTCGGTTCGAGACTCAGCCAGAAAATTCCTTCTCGTATTTCCTCAACCCCTCCAGGAAATGATTTAGAAGATTCATATCGTTAGTTGTCCTTATCGGATTGGCATAGGGGTTCGAATCTTGACGGCCGCGACAGCGGCTATTCTGAGAGGTTCGCGCGTGTTTCCTCAGTCACATAAAGCAACTAACAAGACAATACCTCAATTAGGTCACAACCGCTTCTTTCCAAACCGTTTCTAACTCAGTAATCATTCTATCATCTTACGCTGTACACTCTCTGTATTAACAGCGTCGTTAAATAACCACGTAGAAACACGAAATTGTGAACGTGGCATAAGCAATTTAGGGACGAGGTAAATTTTAAAACGTATAACAATTCCTGTAACAGGCCGTGGATGCCCATAGGGTTGTGAGACGTCAGTGCTCCCACATTGTCTATACAACAGGCTAACAGATGGCGGTGAGGTTGTCAGGTTTAAACGTCGGCCGCCCATTACCCCCAGGAAGATTCCTAGTACTCATTTATCTTACAGACTGAGTCGACCCCAGGGCCAAATTGCGTCTGGAAGGATTAGGTCAATTGAAAAATCCAATGGCCAAATAAATCTGTCGCGATGCTGAACAGGAAAACTAAGAAGTCCCCACTGTTTCTCCTCTACAACCCTTAAATCAACATAATTGCAACAGTAACTTTACTTTCATCCACGGGGCTCTTAGCCCAGATACTTGGAAAGTCCTCCTTTCTCCTTGCTGATATGGCAGCGCTGTGGCACGTGTCATTCCCTGACATACTGCGCAGTTGCCACTCCAAGGGAAGTTGCGTTCTGCACATATTACTTTGAAATCATATCACCAGTTCTGGGGCGGGAGGGGCTAATTGTGCAGCAGAATTTGTGACTATGTTCCTCTCTTTACAATAGCTTCTTTCATTTCTCTGCTCTCTGCTGCTTCTACTATACAGCTCAGTTTCATCTCAGGGAGAGAGTAGCAGATTCTTCTCTCATACGACGTGTACACCGTGTAGCATTCCCTCAGAGTGTCACTAATTTTCTTTGCCGAAAGCCAATTGGGTACGAGTCTGTGGCAGTTTCTTCCTCCTGCAACATCTGAGTTGGAAAATGGGAGGCGACTTAATGTACTTTATTTAGAAGTTCGTTTCTGCGTTTTATTTGCAATAAGTGCATTAAAGATGCGCATAATGTGGACATCATATCTGTTCACATCTCTTCAACGCAGAATCTTGATTTATTCTAAAAAAAAAAAGGTTGTGTTCATAGTTTGAATTTTCGATTGTCGGCACTTTCATTTTCCTGCCTAAGGGTCACAAGAAGCCAGATTTAAGCGAGGAATGAAGTTGAGACGACCGGATGTGCGTGAGTCGGATAGTAGCTGCAGCGAGAGATCGATATACCAGGAGCGGGCCGGGCGGGCGGGTGGATGCTCCACAGCCCTCCGCTGTCCCGGCGCGGCCGCTACTGTTCACTCGTACATCCGCCGTGCTGTATGCTGCCCGCGCGTAGTGATCTGCTGCTGCCGCGACAGAGCTCAAGTTCAGTGAGTGTCACCTGACTGGTACACCTTACCATCTCATGGAACCATCAGTTGAATGGCGGGTGGGCAGTGGAACTACCGCGTTTAACCGTACGTGAAATCGTGTACTTGACCAAGTGTGTAAAATGGTGAATGTATCAGTGATTTGTTGGATTGAAAACTTCTACAATAAGAATTGCTATAATTATTTAGTTTAAAATGGAATATACTAGGAAGGAGCTAACCGACATCCCAGGTCATGTGACGTCGCAGAGGTCAAGACAGGCTACGGTAAGTACAGGACAAGGTCAAGGTCATTTAAGCTTCTACCATAGTTCCCCTGAATACGACTTACTTACGTTACAACTTTATATAAACGTTTGGCTTTTGGAGGGTAGATTTTATTAATTGTATGCACTGTACGTGTATGTTTACATCGCTGTAAAAATAATGTCTTGTTTGATTCGTATGGATGTGACTATTTCGGAAGCCGTAGTTATAACGTATTACGCGCAAGAAGAAGCGTCTCATATGTGAATAGCTTTATCATCTTCCACACAGCAACAAAGACACGCATCTTGCTTCCGCATCACGTGAAGACGTGTAGACGTGCAGGCGCTTTGTGCGGCTTCACGCTAGGCCCCTGGAGTCAATAGAGTGAACGCTATGCTCTGTGGCGTTCACGAGTTCTGTGACATCTTTATTGTTTATTATTCTTAGTGGGGTAAGACAGTCAAATTGATACTACGACCTGTACTGGCCTATTTTACCAGCCCCAGATGAAAGATGGTGGTGATTGTGGAGCAACTGGTGGAATAAAGATTGGCAGGGGAAACCGAAGTACTCCGAGGAAACCTGCCCCACAAGTCCCACATGACCAGACCCGGTCTCGAATCCGGGACCCCGCGGTGGAAAGTCAGCGACTAACCACCTGAGTTATGGCGCAGCCTCTGTGACATCTCACTATCAAGTTACACAGCCGGAGACATTTGACCCTCAGGGCTACCCAGACACTACCGTGATTCGTTCCGACTGGTCTTGTGTTATGGCTGTGTGTCTGTTTCTTCTGTGCCTCAGTTTGCACCGACTCTGACTGCAGAACTGCAGACGTGATGTGCGCAGCATCCATATTCTGTATTCATTTTTCGGATATACTTTCAGGATTGTACAGCCTCTGTTTTGTCAGAAACTTCATGATATATCATTTGGTTAGTTAACGAAGGTTTATCTAATTCGAATGTCGGTGAGATAAAAAATATTACTGTGAATGATGAGAAAGGTGAATCAGTAAGGGGGTGATCTGACCTATTTTGTCATATTTTTCCGACATGAGCGAAACCAAGACACATACATACGAGATATTGAATTTTCATGGGGATATCTTGACATGACCCCCAGCTTTCGAGAACGTAACTAGATTATTATTTGTGTTTTGATATTTCATGAAATAATGTGTCATATATCACGAACTAATGAGACTAAGTGTTTGGTCGGGCTGCGCCATAGCTCAAGCGGTGAGTCGCTGGCTTCCCACCGCTGCGTTCCGTGTTCGATCCCGGGTCTGGTCAAGTGGGATTTGTGGTGGACAAAGTGGCGCTGGGGTGGGTTTTCTCCGAGTACTTCGGTTTCACCTGCCAATCTTCATTCCAATAAAGCAAGTGCAATAGGCTAATCAGTGGCCGCCGTGCCCAATGGACCCAGTTGGACTCCATCCCCCACTAAGAGAATTAAAGAAAAATGTTTGGTCAAATATGGGAGAGGCGGTGAGTTGAAAGCCCAGTGCATTTGACCCACGTTTACGTTAAAGCAATCTCCAAATATAACTATGCTGACTGCAAAGGAATGAAGATTACACTTCTTCGTGTATTGAACAATTACTTATTTACACTAGTAACTGTATATAAGTACCGCTTATTTTAACACTTAAAGCCCTGCAGTTCTTCCCGCTAAATGTGTTTATATATTTCGCTTGATTATCAGAATTCGCAACGATTTTTTTTTCAGAAATTAGTATGAACTGATTTATTTTTTTTATGTGAAGAAGAAACTAAATTGTTAAGCATTTTTCAGACGAACTTTTTGGAAAACAGTAATATTTCATGCAAAATCGGATTACTCCAAAGGAGTAACAATATTACCATAAATAGACAGCTTGAAGTAGCTGACTGAGGTGTTGATTTTTGAAAGCATTGAAAAAAATACGAATATAAGAAAATCTAAATACAAATTTTGCGTGTCTTTCATGTCAAAATACCAATTCGTACAGTATGTCAAATGATACCTCAAAAGTGACATTGCGAATGGCAAACTTCTCATTACAAAAGCATTTCTCCAATGAAACATGTATATAGTTTAAGAATTAGGCATACACTTGCGGAAACTCTTACGAAACTAGTTAAAATATTATTTTTACAGCTTCCAGTAAAAGTAAGTAAAAAGTTAAAGTAAAGCTATCTGTGTAACAGACCGTGAAGGCCCATAGGGTTGTGAGACGTTGAGGGTCCCACATTAGCTAGACAATCGGCTCAAAAATGGCGGTAAGGTTGTCAGCCTTAAGGCGCGTCCACATTACTCGTGCTCTTGCGTCGGAAGCTTACTGTTGCCGGAAAATTAGGATCTGGAGCTGATATCTGTTGTGAAGAAATGCGAAGACTTTGTATGCAAACCAGTTTGGGCGTCCACTTCGTCAGCTCCGGATCCTGATTTTCCGGCAGCAGTAAGCTTCTGACGCACGAGCACGAGTAATGTGGACGGGCCGGCCGCGCTTTACTCCCCAGGAAAATTATTTAGTTAATTCCTGGTACTCATTTCTGTTAGAGGCTGAGTCGACCCTATGGCCATAGTGCGGCTGGAAGGATCAGGTCAATTGAAAATAATCCACTGACCTCATCGGAACTTGAACCCGCGACCTTCCGGCTCGTAGCATAGCCCCCGAACCAACTACGCTATCGCGTGCCCCCTTACCGCTTACAGTTCAAAATTAAAACAAAATTGTGTTTCATATGAGATTATGAAACCGGTTACTGGCAAAAGGGTATATTTATGTAGTTTAGTACGTCTCTTTAATGTTGAAATGGTAATTGTGGTAACTTTGTCGTCACAGGACGTACCTTTATGTATTGCAGTAACTGTATTGGTTATACTAATATGCAGAACATGCAAGGAATTTATGAATATGTTTGTATTTGCACTTATCCTGTGACAAAACATATTAGCATATACAATACATGTTACTTCTACTGTTAGTAGGAGAAAGTCCTGTGACCGCGAAAAAATCTCTCTTGATGTTTTTATAGATTTGCAAAGTTTCAACATCCTTGAATAACATAAAGTATTTTTTTAATACCGTTTGTATGGATGAATTGATGTGTGTATGTATTATGTATGTGCTGCTCCCTGGCGCCTGAACAGTTAGGCATATTCCATTCATAGAATTACTGGGGCTTTGGACTTTTACCATCGTCCGGAATTCTAGGTAATAGAGGACAAGACGTTTCGGAAACTGGATCTGTTACGGTCTTCAGGTGAGAAAGGAAGACACCTACTCAGTTGGGCCCGTTAGAAAGAGCTACTCTCAATCACTGGACTAGCTATTTCTAACGGGCCCAACTGAGTAGGTCTATCCTGCCCCATCCACCTGAGGACGGAGACAGATCCAGTTTCCGAAACGTTTTGGTTTTTTGTCTTATATATACCAGACGATGGGTAGAGTCCAAAAGAAGCCTAATAGTTCTGTACAGCGTACACCATCGTCAGAATCCTTTCAACTCTATTAGCTATTTAATCGCTTGAGACCAGGCTAATTCGGCGGGAGAAATGCACAATGAACATTTTGACAAAGCACGCACATGCGTGGAACTAGGGTAGAAAATGAGGTAAAAATTGTGCCAAAAACCTATCCATTGGTGCTTATGTACTTGGTTTTGTTGGTTATGTTTGTAGCACAAATTTCTACCTCCTTTTCTATCCTAGTGCGTGCTTTATCAAAATGTCCATGCGTATTTTCTTGTTATCTCCTACCGAATTAGCCTGGTCTCAAGCGATTAAATAGCCATGTAAAATCTGACAGGGGTTATCCAGTGATTGAGAATAGATCTTTCTAAGGGACCCAATTGAGTAGGTGTCTTCTCACCCCTTCGCCTGAGGACGGAAACAGATCCACTTTCGGAAACGTCGTGATTTCTATTCTCTGGAATACCAGACGATGTAAAAGGCCCCAAAACCCAGAAATTCTATATGAACATTCTAACTCCATAAACCCTGACCCTTAACAGACGCACCGAAACAGAAAATTGTGATTTTACCTAAAAAAAGTTCAGAAGATTTTGATTAAATGTCATTAGTTTATGAAGACAATCGGCTGTAATAAAACGGCATGAATGATATCTTCAGGAACATGACGCTCCCCCGCCCCCTAGCGGCTCAAACAGCAAATATCAGTTTTCTTGAGAGCTACTTGGCCGAACCTGATTCAGTTTTAATCTTCTATAGAGGCAATTGGCCCACGCAAACAAACGTCAGTGGGTTGGAACAGCAGGTCCTCGGCTAGGGTCTGATTCTCAGAATTTATTTTTCTCAAAATCCATAACTGTTTTAGTTAAATATCACGAATCTGTAGTATTGGTAGTCCTAAAGAACCCCGTTAATTTCAGTAACACAAATAATATTTATTTCAGAATAGTAAAAGACTGTGATCCGCCATATTATGCGAGAATGTATGTGCAACACTCGTGTCTTTGCATTGATTTTTGAAATTTTTGCCCGCCCTTGTCAGTAATATCATTACTGTGGTTGATTCGCTTAATGGGGGGTGGAGTCCAACTGGGTCCACTCGGCACGGCGTCCACTGATTGGCTTATTGTAGCGTGCCCCGGGTGATTATGATGATGGAGAATTTGGTGGAATGAAGATTGGCAGGGGAAACCGAAGTACTCGGAGAAAACCCGCCCCAGCGCCATTTTGTCCACCACAAATCCCACTTGACTAGACCCGGGATCGAATCCTGAAGTTTTCTGATTCTCGAGTTGATGTGGGGCAGCAGATCTGGGATATCTTTTGGGGGATATCCACATGAATTCTGAAGCAGATCTTATGAACTTGACACCGAGAACATCCGCTTAGACTATAATGTTTCTGACTTGTGTTCGAAAGATAGGCATTTCGAAGTTCCATCCAGATACAAATTGTACTGTCTGGGGTTTCTGTAATTTTCCCATTTAACCCCACCCCCGCCCATAGGTAAGTGCCGGGATGATTGATTAGAAAATGACCAGCTCCTTCAAAATCTTTCA